AAGCTGTAAATTGGCCAAAACTGACTATAAAAAATTATAGAGGTCTAATAAATTTAATTACTTGTAACTGTAATGGTTTTGGTGTGATTTCTAGAAGATATTCAGAATGGCATTCCAGAAGGGAATACATTTTGAGTTATTTTTGTGATGTTATAACTGGTCTATGGTGGTGTCTGATTAAAACTAGCTGTAGTTTCTCATTTAACCCTTTTTGTTATTTTTTTTCCCTGCTTATTTTAAATTCTAAGCCTGCTCAATCAGCTGCAATGGTTAAAAATACCTGGGAAAAAGCGATAACAGCTCTTAATGTGCATGATGGATGCTGCTGACACCTCTCTAACCTATTAAGCCAAAGTATGTTTCTTTGCCTAAAGGCTTGCTTAAACTTAACTTTCTTTCCTCCCAGGTCAGTTAACTGAGATCTGGGCAAAAACTGCCTAAAAATATACTTCTAAGCTACAAGTGAGGGGAAAAAACTTAAAAGTTTTGGAGCAGCCCAGGGAAAAGTTTTGGTAGTCAGCACTTGGCCTCTGAAATGGCTGACGAGGAGGGATCAGTGGAAGGTGAATGTGACAGCTCAACCTTTTACTTCCCTGCTGCTGTACCTGAGAGGGGGAAGGAGAAGAAAAAAAGCAGGAGAAGGTCCAGGCAGCTGTGGGGTTTTTTGAAGGGAAAACAGGTAAATTCAAAGGGCAAAGTAATGGAGGGGCCAGAGTCTGCTCTGGTTTGTGCTGTAGTGTAATCGATGGCAACTGGGCTCAGAACTAGGAGTGTGCGTTAATGAAACTTGTACCTGGAGAGCCAGGGGATCAGCTGGGGGAACCCCCCACCTCAGGCTACAGCAGGAGGGAAAAATGGCCTTTTATGAAAAAAAATAGAGGGGTTGAGATCTGGGGGAGGAGAATACAAAGGTGCCCCCAGCACTGCTCTGCTCAGGGTGGGCAGCGCAGGTGGGTTTGTACAGAATCGGGGGGTTTAAAGGGGCTGCAGCCAAGGGACTTGGCTTTAGGGATCACGCCAGATTTTTAACACGAGCCTGGCAAAAAGCAGCCTGCTCTTGGGCGTACGCTGGCATCGACGGGCAGGAAAAAAGGAAACTATTCGAGGGCTACTCACTCAAGAGCCCAGTAGCCACCCGCGCTCCCTTCCCCTCTGCCATGACATCATCCGGCAGAGCCAGCGCCCGGTGCGGCTGCGGAGGGAGGCACCGCCGCGCCGCCCCGAGCCAGACCGGCGGCAAGGCACGGCGAGAGGTAACGAGTTAATCAGGATCTCGCTGGCTGGGAAGAGCAGCGCTGAACCCTGCGTCCTGCTCGTTCATCCCGGGCGCTTCTTTCCAGCGATTTATTTCCCCGAATGAGTGATTCCCTCTCTGTATCCATGCTGCCCGTGATTCTCGTTTTCTTCTGGGGCAGGACAACCGCAGGCGCGTGTCCGACGGCACTAACTCCGGCGGTGGGTGCTACACTTCACAAATACCATGAAATGTAGTTCTTAGCACCTGGTGAATGTGAAAAACTTAATGCAAGGAAATATGATTAGTCAAATGTAGTACGGTGGTTGTTACACAGTGATGGCTGTTACCAAGTTTAGCACACCCACAGGGTTTGCCCTCCATCTACTTAACCCAAACCTGTTACATTTAACTCCTAAGAATAAATCATTTATCTGCAAATGCTTTAACAAACAGAACTTTAAAAAAGAACCCAAAACAAAATACCATAACGATCAACTCTCCAACCTGCTTTGACTCCACCAACTTTTTCTACTTTATTCTGTGCTCTGTTCTAATGAGAACTAGTCTTCATACGAACCAGGTTACCTCCGATCCCCACTTCAGAAGGTGTTTAAGAATGGCAGGTCTCCCAGCATAGGCTCGTTCCAGCTCCTGCATCCAAACCTCCTGGCAGACGCAGACCGATGGCATTTGGGGACCTTTGAAACCTCTGAGTGGATCAGTAACAGACAGGGAGCTCGTCCCCACTTCGCCTTCCCGGCCGAGGGGAGATCTTGCCTGCCTGAGCCTCCCCGTGAGCTCTGGAGCCTGGCTCAGAGTTGGTCCGGAGGAGTCGAGCTCGACTGCAGCTCAACTGTTTGAGAGGAACAAATAAAATCTTAGAGATCGTCAGAGATAAAGGTGCCGCAGAGCTGGCTGTGATGTGGTATCAAAGGGCAGCAATTAGTCCCTCCTGACAAGAAGGCAGTGCGCTGTCTTAACTAGTTGAGGGCAAGTACCTCCCTGGAGGGCAAGGCAGCCTCGCCTGCCAAACCTTTGAAGCACATCCCTCCTCTCGCTGCCACACTTTGGTCTTTCCTGGGTTGTTAGAGCCAACTGGCCTTTATTCCGGCTCCTCCAGTGAGCCCAGGAATGCCGCTGGCACGGCAGCACCCCTCCGATCTCCCTGAACGGGCTGTGCCTCGGCGCACAGCCTGTGGCTGCAGGAATCTGCCTGTCGGAGCTCCTGCTTGTCCCGACTGTGGGGCCAAGCAGTAGGAAGAGGCTTGCTGCCACTCTGCTGGCTGCAGGAGGACAACACCGACGCCAGCTTTGCAGCAAGCAGCCTCAGAAACACGGGGCGTATAGAGACCCTCTTGGCTAAAGGGTTTCCCACTTGCTGAGGAAAAGACTGCATTTCTGTCCTAGGGAGAGGTAGAAATTATTGCACTAATACAAAAGAAAAGGGGACTAAAACATCCCACCAGCGGTTATGGCCATTCTTCTTCGATGCAGGGCGAAGCGGCATACGGACAGACCAGTTCCCTGAAAACACTGCTGGCTGCAAGAAAATAAAAAAAAAGGAAGTAGTCCATCTTAAACAACCCGTTAGTGCTGCAACATTGGTGTGAAGTGAAACCCAAATCCTTGCCCCTTAACACCGGCTGAAGAGAACGTGCAGCTTGCCTTCCCTCATGGTCTGAAGAAGTTTCAAGGAGCAGGTTGCTGGTACTCACTGGCATGGCAATTAGGTCCTGAAGTCCGTTAAACCCAGCCGTTTGATGTTCCAGGTTTTATAAAGCAGGGACATGGTGCTGACAATAACACTGTTGTCCTGCCTACAACTAAACTTGCACTAATTACATTTAATTTTGTTAGCTTTACATTCTGAGGATATACTTACACAGCTGTTTGGGATATCCTGGTGATTCTCTTGTGTCACAAGGTAAGCAGCATTTTGTTAAAAAAAAAAAAAAAAGAGGACAATCTGCGGCACAGTGAGCCCTGCACACGGAAGAGGTTTTACGGTGCTCACCGACGAGGCCATCACCGAAAAGCTGGCAGCTTTTGGTCCATCTGCAACACACCAAACCCTGGCTGTTAGGATCAGGCCCATCATGTTCGCTCCCTTCCTGCTCCCACCCTACAAAAAAACCTCTAACAACCCAGGTAGGGGCCAAGGCATGCAGCTTGAATGAAGCGTAGCCCTGATTAGTTTGGCAAAATCAACTTGAAATGAGATCTTCAGCTGTCGTGCGCGTGCAGAGACGCACACGACAATAAACCTCCCAGCCTTTACAATGCAGCAATTTATAAAAATATGAAGCTTCAGAGTTCAGGACCTAATAAAGCAATGTGGGAGTTGAAAATTGTCAGCAGAGTCGTAACAACAAAGCATCTGCTTCAAAAAAAAGAACACCAAGAGCATAAATGTAAAATAATCTGGTTTTTAACTGGAAAAGTCCACATTTGACAGTGCAATCCGTGCTTATACCAGAAGCCTCCAAAATCTCACTGTTTTACATCTAAACCAAGTCCTGTTAATACCAGGGGATGAGCTGGCATTATCTGCCTTTCACAGAGGGAAGAAAACGTGGCCGAGTCACTCGCTTAAAGAAATTCGGCCTGCAACACAGCCAGGAACTCAACCCAGGCTACCAGCTGCCCCCAGCCTCACTGCTCATCAGGGAACCGAGCACAGAGGCTGCTGTCAGCTCAAAAAACTCCCTGGTGCTGAGTTTTGTTGTTGTTGTTTTTTTTTTTTTTAAAAGAGGTGTGTTGTTGGTTTGTTTTTTTTTAAAAAAACAGGCTTTCTTTGACTTTGCACAGGGAAAAAAAACCCACTCGGTTATTTCCACAACCCTCATTTCCACCAGCCAGAGGAGTGGCATTTGTAACTCAAAGACAAGGTTCACTCCAGTTTATTATCAGCTTGAAAAGTTATCCCTTCGGCCCTGGCAACAGGCAAACGCTTTTGTGTTTAAGTGTCTCCAAGCACCACAGCAGTAACTGCTGCCTTGGTAGATGGCAGCAGGCGAGGGGAGGCCATATTAACTGCGATCCACTGGATCCAGCCAGGGAGAACCCCCTCCGGGAATCCAGCCGTGGTTTGGCTGAAATGTGTGAAACAAAGGATTAAATTCGAGGGAGTATCTTTTTCCCGGACGTGGTGTATTAAAAGGCTGTCATGCGATGGCACGGCAGACAACAAGCAGCTTTCAGCCTTCCAGGAAATGTGTTTCCTAACCCAAATTTCATTTTCAATATAAAACTGCGCTGCTCCTCCCCACTTTGTGCCTACCGGGGGTCCGTCAGAAACCAGCCCTGCAGGGAGCTCGGGCTGCTGCTGTCGAACAACGTTCAAATACTACTGTTTAACGCGGGTTCTGCTAGAAAAACACCCCCCCACACACACCTAGCATTACAGGTGAGGCCGCAGCCGAGGCGACGCTTGCCAGCGGAGCCACGACGTGAAAATCCGCGCAGCCCGGGCCCGGCCCGGCCTCCCCCCGCCCCACCGCGCACTCAGACCCCGGACGAGGCCCCGGCGCCGGTCCGAGCCTCCCCCGGCTGCAGACGAGGCGCTCCCGGCAGTGGACGGGGTCCCCCCCGCCCCGTCCCCGGAGCCCTGACAGGGGGAGCGGCCGGTGACGGGCGCGGCGCCGCCGCCGCCGCCCACCTCGGGGCCGGCGGGGAAACCCGTGCTCCGCTCCCGGGGAAAGGGAGACCCGGCCGGGCCGCCCCGCG